CACACAGATACACACAGGCAAACACACATGGACACACTGACACACTGACACACACACAGGCACACACACAGAGACACACACACAGACACAGACACACACACACAGATACACACAGACACACAGACACACAGACACACGGACACATACAATACACAGACACATACATACCCATACACAAAGACACACACACATACACCCACACAACAACAACCGCCATTCGCCACTAAGTGGCGGTGACGTCACCACGACGCTTGTGCCAGGCTATGTGCACCCTGAGGCCACGTGAAGTGTCGAACGCCCGCTGGCAGGAGGTCACGGGGCAGACCCAGGTGCCACGGGTCGACTGACACACACACAGACACACACACACACATACAGAGACACACACACAGAGACACGCACACACAGACACACACTGACACACACACTGACACACACACACTGACGCACACACTGACACACACACACACTGACACACACTGACACATACAGACACACACACACTGACTCACACACACACACTGACACACACACAGAGACACACACACTGACACACACTGACACATACAGACACACACACACTGACACATACAGACACACACACACACTGACACATACAGACACACACACACTGACACACACACAGAGACACACACACACACACTGACACACACACAGACACACTGACACACACACACTGACACACACACACACTGACACACACACACACACAGAGACACACACACTGACACACACACACTGACACACACACACAACAAAGATAGACAAAGATCCCCCGTATAGCCTTGACAGACTGTAGGGGCAAGTGCTGTTAGTGAGCACCTATGAAGGCCGGAACGGTACACGAGGGGGTGAGTGGCCAGCACCACGCCCGGCCGCCTTTGTCTCCCCAGTGGCGATGTTTACACATCGTACCAGGTACTCATTTAAGGCCGAGTCGACCTAGGGGAGGCCCGGGACCGGTTCAGATAATCGTCACTGGTGTTGGCCGTGAGCGGGAATCGAACCCGGGTCGCCAGGTTCATAGCGCAGCGTAGCGCTAACCACTACTACACTATCACTACACACACACAGACACACACACACTGACACACACACACACACTGACACACACACACATACTGACACACACACACACTGACACACACACAGAGACACACACACTGACACACACACACACTGACACACACACACTGACACACACACACACACTGACACACACACACAGTGACACACACACACTGACACACACACACTGACACATACACACTGACACATACACACTGAAACACACACACTGACACACACACACACTGACACACACACACAGAGACACACACACACACACAGTGACACACACACATAGAGACACACACACAGAGACACACACACACACAGTGACACACACACACACACTGACACACACACACAGAGACACACACACACAGAGACACACCGCACTACCACACAACTACACCACCATATGGTGCAAGGTGGTGACGGTTGTGGTAGTTGTGGTGGTGGTGATTGTAGTGATTGTGGTGATTGTAGTAGTGGTTGTGGTGATTGTAGTGATTGTGGTGGTGATTGTGGTGGTGGTTGTGGTGATTGTAATGATTGTAGTAGTGGTTGTGGTGATTGTAGTAGTGGTTGTGGTGGTGGTTGTGGTGATTGTAATGATTGTAGTAGTGGTTGTGGTGATTGTAGTAGTGGTTGTGGTGGTGGTTGTGGTGATTGTAGTAGTGGTTGTGGTGGTGGTGGTGGTTGTGGTGATTGTAGTAGTGGTTGTGGTGATTGTGGTGGTGGTTGTGGTGGTTGTGGTGTAGGCTGTATTGGCAGGAGAGAGACTAAAATGTGATGGGGAAAGTGGTGGTGGTGATGGTGGTGATGGTGGTGATGGTGGTGGTGGTGGTGGTGATGGTGGTGATGGTGGTGATGGTGGTGGTGGTGATGGTGAAAGTGGTGGTGGTGGTGGTGATGGTGAAAAATGGTGGTGGTGAAGGTGGTGGTGGTGGTGATGGTGAAAGTGGTGGTGGTGGTGATGGTGGTGAAAGTGGTGGTGGTGGTGATGGTGAAAGTGGTGGTGGTGGTGGTGGTGATGATGGTGAAAGTGGTGGTGGTGATGGTGAAAGTGGTGGTGGTGGTGAAAGTGGTGGTGATGGTGAAGGTGGTGGTGGTGATGGTGAAGGTGGTGGTGGTGGTGGTGAAAGTGGTGGTGATGAAGGTGGTGGTGGTGAAAGTGGTGGTGGTGGTGATGGTGAAAGTGGTGGTGGTGATGGCGGTGGTGGTGGTGGTGGTGGTGATGGTGAAAGTGGTGGTGGTGATGATGGTGAAAGTGGTTGTGGTGGTGATGGTGATGGTGTGACTGTGTGTGTGATGGTGTGATGATGATGATGATGGTGTAGGTGGTTTGGACAGGAGCGTGAGTACAATGTGCTGGTGATGGTGATGGTGTGACTGTGTGTGTGACTGTGTATGATGATGATGGTGTGACTGTGTGTATGATGATGATGGTATGATGATGGTGGTGCAGGTGGTTTGGACAGGAGCGTGAGTACAACGTGCTGGTGATGGAGATGATGGTGATGGTGTGACTGTGTATGATGATGGTGATGGTGTGACTGTGTGTGACTGTGTGTGACTGTGTGTATGATGATGGTGTGACTGTGTGTATGATGATGGTATGATGATGATGATGCAGGTGGTTTGGACAGGAGCGTGAGTACAACGTGCTGGTGATGGTGTGACTGTGTGTGTGATGATGATGGTGTGACTGTGTGTATGATGACTGTGTGTATGATGATGGTATGATGGTGTGTATGATGATGTTACAGGTGGTTTGGACAGGAGCGTGAGTACAACGTGCTGGCGATGGTGATGATGGTGTGACTGTGTGTATGATGATGGTATGATGATGATGATGATGCCGGTGGTTTGGACAGGAGCGTGAGTACAACGCGCTGGTGATGGTGTGACTGTGTATGATGATGGTATGATGATGCAGGTGGTTTGGACAGGAGCGTGAGTACAACGTGCTGGTGATGGTGCTGGTGATGGTGTGATGACTGTGTATGATGATGGTATGATGATGCAGGTGGTTTGGACAGGAGCGTGAGTACAACGTGCTGGTGATGGTGATGATGATGATGATGGTGTGACTGTGTATGATGATGATGGTGTGACTGTGTATGATGGTGTGACTGTGTATGATGATGATGGTGTGACTGTGTATGATGATGATGGTGTGACTGTGTATGATGGTGTGACTGTGTATGATGATGATGGTGTGACTGTGTATGATGGTGTGACTGTGTATGATGGTGTGACTGTGTATGATGATGATGGTGTGACTGTGTATGATGATGATGGTGTGACTGTGTGTATGATGGTGTGACTATGTATGATGGTGTGACTGTGTGTATGATGATGGTGTGACTGTGTGTATGATGGTGATGGTGTGAATGTGTGTGTATGATGACTGTGTGTATGACGATGGTATGATGGTGTGTATGATGATGATGCAGGTGGTTTGGACAGGAGCGTGAGTACAACGTGCTGGTGATGGTGATGATGGTGTGACTGTGTGTGTGTGACTGTGTGTGTGACTGTGTATGATGATGGTGTGATGATGATACAGGTGGTTTGGACAGGAGCGTGAGTACAACGTGCTGGTGATGGTGTGACTGTGTGTGACTGTGTATGATGATGGTATGATGATGGTATGATGATGTTACAGGTGGTTTGGACAGGAGCGTGAGTACAACGTGCTGGTGATGGTGATGATGGTGTGACTGTGTGTGATGACTGTGTGTGTGTGACTGTGTATGATGATGGTATGATGTTACAGGTGGTTTGGACAGGAGCGTGAGTACAACATGCTGGTGATGGTGATGATGGTGTGACTGTGTGTATGATGATGATGTGACTGTGTGTATGATGATGATGGTATGATGATGTTACAGGTGGTTTGGACAGGAGCGTGAGTACAACGTGCTGGTGATGGTGATGATGGTGTGACTGTGTGTATGATGATGATGGTATGATGACTGTGATGGTGATGTTACAGGTGGTTTGGACAGGAGCGTGAGTACAACGTGCTGGTGATGGTGTGACTGTGTGTGTGATGATGATGGTGTGACTGTGTGTGTGACTGTGTGTATGATGATGGTGTGACTGTGTGTATGATGATGATGTGACTGTGTGTATGATGATGGTATGATGATGATGCAGGTGGTTTGGACAGGAGCGTGAGTACAACGTGCTGGTGATGGTGATGATGTGACTGTGTGTATGATGACTGTGTATGATGATGGTATGATGATGTTACAGGTGGTTTGGACAGGAGCGTGAGTACAACGTGCTGGTGATGATGATGATGATGGTGTGACTGTGTGTGTGTGACTGTGTGTGTGACTGTGTGTGATGTTACAGGTGGTTTGGACAGGAGCGTGAGTACAACGTGCTGGTGATGGTGTGACTGTGTGTGTGACTGTGTGATGGTATGATGATGTTACAGGTGGTTTGGACAGGAGCGTGAGTACAACGTGCTGGTGATGGTGTGACTGTGTGTGTGACTGTGTGTGTGTGACTGTGTGTGTGACTGTGTGTGATGTTACAGGTGGTTTGGACAGGAGCGTGAGTACAACGTGCTGGTGATGGTGTGACTGTGTGTGTGACTGTGTGATGGTATAATGATGTTACAGGTGGTTTGGACAGGAGCGTGAGTACAACGTGCTGGTGATGGTGTGACTGTGCGTGACTGTGTATGATGGTGTGATGACTGTGTGTATGATGATGTTGCAGGTGGTTTGGACAGGAGCGTGAGTACAACGTGCTGGTGATGGTGATGATGATGTGACTGTGTGATGGTATGATGATGTTACAGGTGGTTTGGACAGGAGCGTGAGTACAACGTGCTGGTGATGATGATGATGGTGTGACTGTGTGTGACTGTGTATGATGATGGTATGATGTTACAGGTGGTTTGGACAGGAGCGTGAGTACAACGTGCTGGTGATGGACATTCTGGGTCCCAGCCTGGAGGATCTCTTCAACTTTTGCTCACGGCGATTCACCATGAAGACCGTGCTGATGCTGGCCGACCAGGTAACCATGGCAACCGGGGGGTAACCATGGTGACCGGGGTAACCATGGTGACCGGGGTAACCGCGGGGTAACCATGGTGACCGTTGGGGTAACCATGAAGACCGTGCTGATGCTGGCCGACCAGGTAACCATGGCAACCGGGGGGTAACCATGGTGACCGGGGTAACCATGGTGACCGGGGTAACCGCGGGGTAACCATGGTGACCGTTGGGGTAACCATGAAGACCGTGCTGATGCTGGCCGACCAGGTAACCGTGGCAACCAGGGTAACCATGGTAACCAGGGAAACCATGGTGACCGTGGGGTAACCATGGTAACCAGGGAAACCATGGTGACCGGGGTCACCGTTGGGGTAACCGTGAAGACCGTGCTCATGCTAGCCGACCAGGTAACCATGGTAACCGCGGGGTAACGGCCAGGTAACCATGGTGACCACGCGGTGTGTCACTGTGTGTGTGTTACTGTGTGTACACACTGTGTTACTGTGTGTATGTGTGTGTGTCACTGTGTGTGTGTGTCACTGTGTGTGTGTGTGTGTCACTGTGTGTGTGTGTGTGTGTCACTGTGTGTGTGTCACTGTGTGTGTGTCACTGTGTGTGTGTCACTGTGTGTGTCACTGTGTGTGTCTGTGTGTGTGTGTGTGTGTACACTGTGTGTGTGTCTGTGTGTGTGTGTCTGTGTGTGTGTGTCTGTGTATGTGTGTGTCTCTGTGTGTGTAGGTGTGTCTCTGTGTGTGTGTAGTGATAGTGTAGTAGTGGTTAGCGCTATGCTGCGCTATGAACCCGGCGACCCGGGTTCGATTCCCGCTCACGGCCAACACCAGTGACGATTATCTGAACCGGTCCCGGGCCTCCCCTAGGTCGACTCGGCCTCAAATGAGTACCTGGTGCGGTGTGTAAACATCGCCACTAGGGAGAGACAAAGGCGGTCGGGCGTGGTGCTGGCCACCCACCCCCTCGTGTACCGTTCCGGCCTTCATAGGTGCTCGCTAACAGCCCTTGCCCCTACAGTCTGTTAAGGCTATATGGGGGATCTTTGTCTTTGATATCTGTGTGTGTAACACTGTGTGTCACTGTGTGTGTAACACTGTGTGTGTGTAACACTGTGTGTGTGTAACACTGTAACACTGTGTGTGTGTAACACTGTGTGTGTGTAACACTGTGTGTGTCACTGTGTGTAACACTGTGTGTGTGTAAGACTGTGTGTGTGTAACACTGTGTGTGTGTAACACTGTGTGTATGTGTAACACTGTGTGTGTATAACACTGTGTGTGTAACACTGTGTGTATGTAACACTGTGTGTGTGTAACACTGTGTGTGTGTAACACTGTGTGTGTGTAACACTGTGTAACACTGTGTGTGTGTAACACTGTGTGTGTCACTGTGTGTGTGTAACACTGTGTGTGTGTAACACTGTGTGTGTGTAACACTGTGTGTGTGTACACTGTGTGTGTGTAACACTGTGTGTGTGTAACACTGTGTGTGTGTAACACTGTGTGTATGTGTAACACTGTGTGTGTAACACTGTGTGTGTAACACTGTGTGTGTGTAACACTGTGTGTGTGTACACTGTATGTGTACACTGTGTGTGTACACTGTGTGTGTATAACACTGTATCTGTGTATCACTGTGTGTAACACTGTGTGTAACACTGTGTGTGTGTAACACTGTGTGTGTGTAACACTGTATCTGTGTATCACTGTGTGTGTCACTGTGTGTGTCACTGTGTGTGTAACACTGTGTGTGTGTAACACTGTGTGTGTGTAACACTGTATCTGTGTATCACTGTGTGTGTCACTGTGTGTGTCACTGTGTGTGTAACACTGTGTGTGTGTAACACTGTGTGTGTGTAACACTGTATCTGTGTATCACTGTGTGTGTCACTGTGTGTGTCACTGTGTGTGTAACACTGTGTGTATCACTGTGTGTGTCACTGTACCACTGTGTCACTGTGTGTGTAACACTGTGTGTGTATCACTGTGTGTGTGTGTCACTGTGTGTATCTGTGTGTGTATCACTGTGTGTCACTGTGTGTGTGTATCACTGTGTGTAACACTGTGTGTGTATCACTGTGTGTGTGTGTCACTGTGTGTATCTGTGTGTGTATCACTGTGTGTCACTGTGTGTGTGTATCACTGTGTGTAACACTGTGTGTGTGTAACACTGTGTGTGTGTAACACTGTGTAACACTGTGTGTGTGTGTAACACTGTGTGTGTGTAACACTGTGTGTGTGTAACACTGTGTGTGTGTAACACTGTGTGTGACACTGTGTGTGTGTGACACTGTGTGTGTGTGACACTGTGTGTGTGTGTCACTGTGTGTGTGTGTACACTGTGTGTGTAACACTGTGTGTGTACACTGTGTGACACTGTGTGTGTGTGACACTGTGTGTGTGTGACACTGTGTGTGTGTGTGACACTGTGTGTGTAACACTGTGTAACACTGTGTGTATTTGTGTGTATCACTGTGTATCACTGTGTATCTGTGTGACACTGTGTGTGTGACACTGTGTGTATCTGTGTGTATCACTGTGTGTGTGTGTATCACTGTGTGTGTAACACTGTGTATCACTGTGTGTGTAACACTGTGTGTGTGACACTGTGTGTGTGACACTGTGTGTGTGACACTGTGTGTGTGTAACACTGTGTGTGTGTAACACTGTGTGTGTGTAACACTGTGTGTATGTGTAACACTGTGTGTGTAACACTGTGTGTGTGTAACACTGTGTGTATGTGTAACACTGTGTGTGTAACACTGTGTGTGTGTAACACTGTGTGTGTGTACACTGTATGTGTACACTGTGTGTGTGCACTGTGTGTGTATAACACTGTATCTGTGTATCACTGTGTGTAACACTGTGTGTAACACTGTGTGTGTGTAACACTGTGTGTGTGTAACACTGTATCTGTGTATCACTGTGTGTGTCACTGTGTGTGTCACTGTGTGTGTAACACTGTGTGTGTGTAACACTGTGTGTGTGTAACACTGTATCTGTGTATCACTGTGTGTGTCACTGTGTGTGTCACTGTGTGTGTAACACTGTGTGTATCACTGTGTGTGTCACTGTACCACTGTGTCACTGTGTGTGTAACACTGTGTGTGTATCACTGTGTGTGTGTGTCACTGTGTGTATCTGTGTGTGTATCACTGTGTGTCACTGTGTGTGTGTATCACTGTGTGTAACACTGTGTGTGTAACACTGTGTGTGTGTATCACTGTGTGTGTGTGTCACTGTGTGTATCTGTGTGTGTATCACTGTGTGTCACTGTGTGTGTGTATCACTGTGTGTAACACTGTGTGTGTGTAACACTGTGTGTGTGTAACACTGTGTAACACTGTGTGTGTGTGTGTAACACTGTGTGTGTGTGTAACACTGTGTGTGTGTAACACTGTGTGTGTGTAACACTGTGTGTGTGTAACACTGTGTGTGTGACACTGTGTGTGTGTGACACTGTGTGTGTGTGTCACTGTGTGTGTGTGTACACTGTGTGTGTAACACTGTGTGTGTACACTGTGTGACACTGTGTGTGTGTGACACTGTGTGTGTGTGTGACACTGTGTGTGTAACACTGTGTAACACTGTGTGTATTTGTGTGTATCACTGTGTATCACTGTGTATCTGTGTGACACTGTGTGTGTGACACTGTGTGTATCTGTGTGTATCACTGTGTGTGTGTGTATCACTGTGTGTGTAACACTGTGTATCACTGTGTGTGTAACACTGTGTATCACTGTGTGTGTAACACTGTGTGTGTGACACTGTGTGTATCTGTGTGACACTGTGTGTGTGTGACACTGTGTGTGTGTCCCTGTGTGTGACACTGTGTGTGTGTGTCACTGTGTATCACTGTGTGTATAACACTGTGTGTGTGTCACTGTGTATCACTGTGTGTGTAACACTGTGTGTGTGACACTGTGTGTGTGTGACACTGTGTGTGTGTGTGACACTGTGTGTGTGTGACACTGTGTGTGTGTGTGTGTGACACTGTGTGTGTGTATCTGTGTGTAGATGATCAGCAGAGTGGAATATGTTCACAACAAGAACTTCATACACAGAGACATCAAGCCGGACAACTTTCTCATGGGGGTGGGGAGGCATTGCAACAAGGTGAGAACCACTACACCTACAACTACTATACCTACAACTACTACACCTACAACTACTATACCTACAACTACTACACCTACAACTACTATACCTACAACTACTACACCTACAACTACTATACCTACAACTACTATACCTACAACTACTACACCTACAACTACTATACCTACAACTACTACACCTACAACTACTATACCTACAACTACTACACCTACAACTACTATACCTACAACTACTACACCTACAACTACTATACCTACAACTACTATACCTACAACTACTACACCTACAACTACTACACCTACAACTACTATACCTACAACTACTACACCTACAACTACTATACCTACAACTACTACACCTACAACTACTACACCTACAACTACTACACCTACAACTACTACACCTACAACTACTATACCTACAACTACTACACCTACAACTACTACACCTACAACTACTACACCTACAACTACTACAACTACAACTACTACACCTACAACTACTACACCTACAACTACTATACCTACAACTACTATACCTACAACTACTATACCTACAACTACTATACCTACAACTACTACACCTACAACTACTACACCTACAACTACTATACCTACAACTACTACACCTACAACTACTATACCTACAACTACTATACCTACAAATACTACACCTACAACTACTATACCTACAACTACTATACCTACAACTACTATACCTACAACTACTATACCTGCAAATACTATACCTACAACTACTACACCTACAACTACTATACCTACAACTACTACACCTACAACTACTATACCTGCAAATACTATACCTACAACTACTACACCTACAACTACTATACCTACAACTACTACACCTACAACTACTATACCTGCAACTACTATACCTACAACTACTATACCTACAACTACTATACCTACAACTACTACACCTACAACTACTATACCTGCAAATACTATACCTACAACTACTATACCTACAACTACTACAACTACTACACCTACAACCACTATACCTACAACTACTACACCTACAACTACTACACCTACAACTACTACACCTACAACTACTATACCTACAACTACTACACCTACAACTACTACACCTACAACTACTATACCTACAACTACTACACCTACAACTACTATACCTACAACTACTATACCTACAACTACTACACCTACAACTACTACACCTACAACTACTACACCTACAACTACTACAACTACTATACCTACAACTACTATACCTACAAATACTACACCTACAACTACTATACCTACAAATACTACACCTACAACTACTATACCTACAACTACTATACCTACAACTACTACACCTACAACTACTACACCTACAACTACTACACCTACAACTACTATACCTACAACTACTACACCTACAAATACTATACCTACAAATACTACACCTACAACTACTATACCTACAACTACTATACCTACAAATACTACAACTACTACACCTACAACTACTATACCTACAAATACTACAACTACTACACCTACAACAACTACTATACCTACAACTACTATACCTACAAATACTACAACTACTACACCTACAACCACTATACCTACAACTACTATACCTACAAATACTACACCTACAACTACTATACCTACAACTACTACACCTACAACTACTATACCTACAACCACTATACCTACAACTACTATAACTACTACACCTACAACTACTATACCTACAACTACTACAACTACAACTACTATACCTACAACTACTATACCTACAACTACTATACCTACAACTACTATACCTACAACTACTATACCTACAACTACTACACCTACAACTACTATACCTACAACTACTATACCTACAACTACTACACCTACAACTACTATACCTACAACTACTACACCTACAACTACTATACCTACAACTACTACACCTACAACTACTACACCTACAACTACTATACCTACAACTACTACAACTACAACTACTACACCTACAACTACTATACCTACAACTACTATACTTACAACTACAACTACTACACCTACAACTACTACACCTACAACTACTACACCTACAACTACTATACCTACAACTACTATACCTACAACTACTATACCTACAACTACTACAACTACTATACCTACAACTACTATACCTACAACTACTACACCTACAACTACTATACCTACAACTAATACACCTACAACTACTACACCTACAACTACTACACCTACAACTACTACACCTACAACTACTATACCTACAAATACTACACCTGCAAATACTATACCTACAACTACTATAACCACTACACCTACTACAACTACTACACCTACAACTACTATACCTACAACTACTACACCTACAACTACTATACCTACAAATACTACACCTACAACTACTATACCTACAACTACAAATACTATACCTACAACTACTATACCTACAAATACTATACCTACAACTACTACAACTACTACACCTACAACTACTACACCTACAACTACTATACCTACAACTACTACACCTACTACACCTACAACTACTACACCTACAACTACTATACCTACAACTACTACACCTACAACTACTACACCTACAACTACTATACCTACAACTACTACACCTACAACTACTACACCTACAACTACTATACCTACAACTACTACACCTACTACACCTACAACTACTACACCTACAACTACTACACCTACAACTACTATACCTACAAATACTACAACTACTATACCTACAACTACTACAACTACAAATACTATAACTACTACACCTACAACTACTATACCTACAACTACTACAACACTTACACCTACAACTACTATACCTACAAATACTACAACTACTATACCTACAACTACTATACCTACAAATACTACAACTACTATACCTACAACTACTATACCTACAACTACTATACCTACAACTACTATAACTACTACACCTACAACAACTACTATACCTACAAATACTATACCTACAACTACTACACCTACAACTACTACACCTACAACTACTACACCTACAACTACTACACCTACAACTACTACAACTACAACTACTATACCTACAACTACTACACCTACAAATACTACACCTACAACTACTATACCTACAACTACTACACCTACAACTACTACACCTACAACTACTATACCTACAACTACTATACCTACAACTACTACACCTACAACTACTATACCTACAACTACTATACCTACAACTACTACAACTACTATACCTACAACTACTATACCTACAACTACTACACCTACAACTACTACACCTACAACTACTATACCTACAAATACTACACCTACAAATACTACACCTACAACTACTATACCTACAACTACTACACCTACAACCACTACACCTATAACTACTACACCTACAAATACTACACCTGCAAATACTATACCTACAACTACTACACCTACAAATACTACACCTACTACTACTATACCTGCAACTACTACAACTACTATACCTACAACTACTACACCTACAACTACTATACCTACAACTACTACAACACTTACAACCACTACACCTACAACTACTACACCTACTACACCTACAACTACTACACCTACTACACCTACAACTACTACACCTACAACTACTACACCTACAACTACTATACCTACAACTACTACTACACTTACAACCACTACACCTACTACTACACCTACAAATACTATAACTACTACACCTACAACAACTACTATACCTGCAACTACTACAACTACTATACCTACAACTACTACACCTACAACTACTATACCTACAACTACTACACCTACAACTACTACACCTACAACTACTACACCTACAACTACTATACCTGCAAATACTACACCTACAACTACTACACCTACAACTACTATACCTACAACTACTACAACTACTACACTTACAACTATTACACCTACAACTACTATACCTGCAACTACTACAACACTTACACCTACAACTACTACACCTACAACTACTATACCTACAACTACTACAACTACTACACGTGCAACTACTACAACTACTACACCTACAACTACTACAACAACTACAACTACTACACCTACAACTACTACAACTACTACACCTACAACTACTACAACTACTACACCTACAACTACTACAACTACTACAACAACTACAACTACTACACCTGCAACAACTACACCTACAACTACTACACCTACAACTACTACACCTACAACTACTACACCTACAACTACTACACCTACAACTACTATACCTACAACTACTACAACTACTACACCTACAACTACTACACCTACAACTACTACACCTACAACTACTACACCTACAACTACTACACCTACAACTACTACACCAACTACTACAACTACAACTACTACACCTACAACTACTACACCTACAACTACTACACCTACAACTACTACACCTACAACTACTACACCTACAACTACTACACCTACAACTACTACACCTACAACTACTACACCTACAACTACTACACCTACAACTACTATACCTACAACTACTACACATACAACTACTACACCTACAACTACTACACCTACAACTACTACACCTGCAACTACTACACCTGCAACTACTACACCTACAACTACTATACCTACAACTACTACAACTACTACACCTACAACTACTACACCTACAACTACTATACCTACAACTACTATAACTACTACACCTACAACAACTACTATACCTACAAATACTATACCTACAACTACTACACCTACAACTACTACACCTACAACTACTATACCTACAACTACTACAACTACTATACCTACAACTACTATACCTACAACTACTATACCTACAACTACTACACCTACAACTACTACAACAACTACAACTACTACACCTGCAACAACTACACCTACAACTACTACACCTACTACACCTGCAACTACTACACCTGCAACTACTACACCTGCAACTACTAC